GAAATAAGTATATTATACATAAAAGAACAACAAACACTTATTTTAAATGGAAATAACTAAGAAACTAAATGCTTGTAATTTATTTAAATAAAAGTAATAAAACAATAGATGCATATAACAAATATTTCTTTATTTAAACATTTTGTTAGATACTTTGAGGCTGCTTAGAAGTAATCTATTACGACAGTGTTTTGTGAAAGTGTTAAAAATCTTCTGATAAGGTTCAGTGAAATTCTGGGATCGAATTAGGTTTAGGTTCCATATTATACGAAATTCATTTGGAAAGGAAAAAGTACCAAAAAGTTCCTGTTCATGTATATGAAAAGGACTAAAAGTCGCAATAAGCGTCAAACCAAACCAACTTTATGATTTTGAAAATTCTATTTATGCCACGTCTCCCATTGAAAGTCCGACCGTTTTCCCCAAACATTCTCTCGAATGTATAAGTTTTTCATGCAAAACTTTTAGGATTCTAGTTGCATTCATATGAAAAGGTTCCACGCTCCCTTTTCCGTCCATTTATTACCCAAATGTTCACATTAATGTCAGATTCTAGTTCTAATAGTTTTTGGATTTAATTCATATAATAGGTTCCAAGTCCCCCTAATGAAGGTCCGCCCATGTTCAGAAATGTTAAAGTTCTTGTTCAAAATTTGAAGATTCTAGTTCCAATAGTTTCCCAGATAAACTAACTTTTGTATTTAATTCATATGAGAATTGCCCTATTGCGAGTACGCCAACTTAATACCTAAATTTTCTCATGGATGTCAAAGTTAGTGGTGCAAAATTTAAGTATTTTAAATATACGATTTTTTTATTTAATTCATATGAATGTCCGTTTAATTTTCCCCCAAATGTTCACATGGACGTTAAAGTTCTTCGTGCCAAATTTCTCAGATATTAGAATTTTTGTATTTAATTCATAATGAGAGGTTTCAATTAAAGATTCTAGTTCTAATAGTTTCCCAGATAAATTAAATTTGAATTTTATTCATATGGGAAAGTTCTACGGGCAATTTGAGGATTTTAACTCTAATATTTCTCAGATATACGAATTTTTGTATTTAATTCATATGAAAGTACGCCCATTTACCGCTCAAAGTTTAATATGGACGTTGAAGTTCTTCGTGTAAAATTTAAGATTCTAGGAATAATAGATTTCCAGGAGGTACCTGCGCCCCCTGTTGCTAGTCCGCCCATAGTCTTAAATAATTACATTGTTAACACTAAAGTAGTTCCGATATAATTTGAGGAATCTAGACTGATTTGAAACGTTTTAATAGCCTGATGTGATGGGGATATTCAGCGTCCAGATTGAGTTCAGCCCTGCATAATCCTTTCGAAAAAGTATACTTTAGTATCTTTTTTTAAAAAATGTGTGTTATCGACTAGTACCGAGTCGAGGGACGAAAGTTTTCAGATATCTTTAGATTGCCATGAGATTGTTTTTCCTACACAGTAGTTCTTAGCCATTTTAGCGGACAGTAAACTTCAAAACTTTGACTAAACATTTCCATATTAAGTATTCATGACATTCTGATGATTTAGAACCATATTCAAATTTAATCAGTCAGTCATAATTGTTTTGTCTTAATTTTTTAGTGTTTCGTTCACAATTATATTGTGGTCTTTTGGGGTTTTAGGAATTTAAAATATCAAATTAAGTAAAATGGAAATTGAAAAATACCCCATTCAGTATCTCGGAAAATGATAGTATTTGAGTTATTTATAAAAATTAACTTAAAAAAATCAGAACTTCGACCCTAGACAGTCCTATGAACTTTTTTATTTAAGACCTTTAAATGCCCATCACCTTATTAACAATTTTGGAAGGAGTTAGGTACGAATCTATAATTTATAAATTGTTAAATTTGTTCATTATTTAAATTTTTAGATCCTTTGCTCATAAGAAAAACTAAAACATCCTTATAACCCCCAAAAAATAAAAAAATATTTTTATGGCAACAGTGGTTTTCATCACTTCCAGTAATTTTCTCTGCATTTTACTCTCAAGGGAACAAAAAAACATTACGCTCTCTGAGAGGGTATATGAAACGAAACAGTGACTGATAAAAAATTGTGAATTATATCTTACAGCACTATAGTGGGGAGGGCATAATGCGTTTGTGTAGATGTTATACCCAAAAATAAAGGTCTATATCCACTTTAAAGTATACCAAAAGCACGCACTTTTCAAAGTAATCGGAAAAAATTTTCACAAGAAAGACAATATTTCTGAGAAAATTGAACCCAGTTTCCTAAGTAAGATATACCGGTGACCGGACTAAGTTAAGTACTACTAAGAGTAATCATTGTTCGAAAAGACACTGGCTTTATAAAATCGTGGATTATAAATTGTAAAAAAGCTTTAAAATATGAAACCACTGGTTGCGTATAAGTGGAAACTTTGCTATCTTTAGGCAAATTGAAGAACACGTCATCAATATATCTATGTATATTTATTTATTGGACCCATTTGTAGACATCGGACGTGTGCCACTAAGAGGCTCTTATTCCACATTTGATTAAATACATATAGATATCCGTTTGCTATGTTCTTGCAGTGATAAGCTTTGCAATCATATGGTTACTATCGGGAATAATCGGCAAGGAAAAAGCAAATTTACTTCCCATAAAGCAAAGGAAACTCAACCGACGAATGGAAAAAACCGTTGCACACAACGAGGGCTAAATTATGTATACATGTCAATTATGGATGTTAAAGAAATTTTGCCGTAGGGGACCATATATTGATTGCATTTGTCAATTATGAGTCGGATATTACGAAAATTCGAATTATTATTTTTTCCTTTACAAGACTTAGTTCCGATTATTATTATATCAATATAAGACATCTAAAGTAAAGCAATTTCACATCAAGTGACCCAACTCAAGCAAATGATGAAATTTGCAAATTTTCAGCTCTAATCGGTCAAGAACTACCGGAGTTTAAAGGGGTTAAATTGGACACTTTGGTCATACAGGGGTCTATTCAAATGAGTGTAACTTTTCACCTATTGGTCCTAGCAAAAATCTTAATTTAATTTTTTTTTTTTTTTAAATAGGAAGACATCGATTTTAAAAGTAGGGTCATTTGACAATGACTGATTGATAATCGCACAGAACATAAAAAAAGGATAATTTCGGTTTTCGAAATTCGGTTTTTTTAGAGCAAATGTGTAGTAGTGAGTTAGCTAAATAAGTTCGTTAGGTCGTTAGTTAGTTTGTTAGTTAGTTCGTTAGTTAGTTAGTTAGTTAGTTAGTTAGTTAGTTAGTTAGTTAGTTAGTTAGTTAGTTAGTTACTTAGTTACTTAGTTAGTTAGTTAGTTAGTTAGTTAGTTAGTTAGTTAGTTAGTTAGTTAGTTAGTTAGTTAGTTAGTTAGTTAGTTAGTTAGTTAGTTAGTTAGTTAGTTAGTTAGTTAGTTAGTTAGTTAGTTAGTTAGTTAGTTAGTTAGTTAGTTAGTTAGTTAGTTAGTTAGTTACTTAGTTTGTTAGTTAGTTAGTTAGTTAGTTAGTTAGTTAGTTAGTTAGTTAGTTAGTTAGTTAGTTAGTTGTTAGTTTTAGTTAGTTAGTTAGTTAGTTAGTTAGTTAGTTAGTTAGTTAGTTAGTTAGTTAGTTAGTTAGTTAGTTAGTTAGTTAGTTAGTTAGTTAGTTAGTTAGTTAGTTAGTTAGTTAGTTCGTTAGTTCGTTCGTTGTGTTCGTTCGTTCGTTCGTTCGTTCGTTCGTTCGTTTCGTTCGTTCGTTCGTTTCGTTCGTTCGTTCGTTCGTTCGTTCTTCGTTTCGTTCGCGTTCGTTCGTTCGTTCGTTGTTCGTTTCGTTCGTTTCGTTCGTTCGTTCGTCGTTCGTTCGTTCGTTCGTTCGTTCGTTCGTTCGTTCGTTTCGTTCGTTCGTTCGTTCGTTCGTTCGTTCGTTCGTTCGTTCGTTCGTTCTTTCGTTCCTTCGTTTGTTCGTTTTCGTTTGTTCGTTCGTTCGTTCGTTCGTTTCGTTCTCGTTCGTTCGTTCGTTTTTCGTTCGTTCTTCGTTCGTTCGTTCGTTCGTTCGTTCGTTAGTAGTTAGTTAGTTAGTTAGTAGTTAGTTAGTAGTTAGTTAGTATTAGTAGTTAGTTCTTAGTTAGTTAGTTAGTTAGTAGTTAGTTAGTTAGTTAGTTAGTTAGTTAGTTAGTTAGTAGGTAGTTAGTTAGTTAGTAGTAGTTAGTTAGTTAGTAGTTAGTTAGTTAGTTAGGTTAGTTAGTTAGTTAGTTAGTTAGTTAGTATTAGTTAGTTAGTTAGTTAGTTAGTTAGTTAGTTACTTTTGTTAGTGAATGAATAATTTCGTAGTTTTTATGAACAAATGAATGCAACTTTTCACAAAGGCAGAATGTACAAGAATTTCAATACCCATTGTTCCGATTAAATGAGAAGAAGTATGAGTTTGAAGGATCTTTTTTCGTACTTTTCTGTTCTTTAACTGGTACTTTAAAATTTTTCTGTAATATTGATTCTAGATTAGTTACTAAATAGTTACTGAAACAAACATTTAATATATAAATTCCTGAAAATGTGTACTATTGCTTATTGCTATTATTTCGTTCTGCAAATGTCATTTTCTGACAAATCTATAATATTTTCCACTGGGTCCAAATCAGAATCCGACCAGAAACACATAGAATTTCAATAGAGACGAAAATGAACTTTATTATAATAAATATAAATATAATAAATATATTAGAGTGTTCATATATCTTTTCATACATTTGTGATCCAAATTTCGATTTAATTTCATTTCGATAAGGGTAGCGATGTATTCAAGGCAAGCAAGTTTTCAGAAAAACGGGACGGGAATTGAACTGAACTTTTATTAAACTCAACTGATTATTAAAACTTTTGCCCTTCAGTGTAAACAAACGACCGTTTAACATGACATTCCTCTACATTTTTGGCACAACAAACACAAACTCTTTCCAGGCAATAGAAATGAGAATTTTGCTGATTCCTGCAGAAATTTTCATGTCTTCAGTTCTTCGTGGTTGGTTAAGTGTTAAACAACTCAAAATACGCAGACGTCTAAACGAGAATCATACGAAAAAATAACACGGTGGTAAAATAGCAACAACATCAACAGGAAAAAAATTAAAAATAATAAAGAATAGAAATAATTTTTAAGTCGAAAAAAAGAAATTGTGCGTTTTTTCACATTTTTCGGTCGTTTAATGCACATGTGTTTTATAATCCAAACAGAAAAGAAATAACTAGGAAATAAAGCAGAAAATTAAAAATCAATAATTTAACAAGAAAAGTTAAGTGATTTGAAATTATTTGCAAAATAAATAAACTTAACAGACCCTTTAAAAATTGCTTTTTTTTGTTACGGAACAATTCCGCTAAGAAGTTCCTGGGCTCAAAATCGGTGATAAGACTTAAGTGAACAGAGTTAAAAAGGAACTTCTAGGAAATTAAACTGACTTTCTGTAAAAAATTTCTTTAGGTTGTTTTCCAAATCAAATAACCTTGATTTCTTAAAGGCTGTTAAAATAAGCTAAAATTTTGTTATAAAAAAATTTGAAAATCTGAAAAAAGTAAAAAAAAACTTCAGTGAAAAAGTTTTCAATTTCGTTTTCATTATAATGTTTAATAATTTCCAACCAATTGTTTGGATTATTAAGCCAGTTCAATGTCAAGATGTAAGTTCATGGTTAACAAAATAAAATGTAATACTTATCTATATTAAGTAAAAAATGTTAATTATTATTAATTATAATTATGTATGTTGTTGTTTTTTCATATGACCTCTTAATGACATTTCGTGTTGTGTTTATTTATGTATGTTATTCTGCTTTGCTGTCAGTTTCTTTTATTATTTTCTTGTGCCAACTTTATTGATTTGTTGCTCTAACCTGTGTCTCAGACCAACAAAAAGAGAGAGATTGTTTCAGAGTTTAGTACTTAATTGTCAGTTTAGTTTATGTCATTTCTATTTTGTTGTTGTTTATTTTTTAATATTACATACATTTGTTTATTTCAATTTATACATATGTTGTTATTGTTAATTGCAGCTCTTGCAAAAAACAAATATACTAACGGTTTCAAGTGTCAAGTAGTCTGAACACATTATACCTACACATTTTCAAATATGTAATAACTACCCAGTTAACTATTTTTAAATAGTTATTCCTATTCGATTCATTTTGGACTCTTCTGCACGATTAATATAATTTCGTATGAGCTAATTTTTTAACCATAAATGATACTTTTATCGGGAGATAAGAGACCTCCACTATTGTCTAGGGGCAGAACTACAAACATACATATATGCTCGATATATGTACATCAGAGTGGACAAAATTGGTACAATTGTAGTCTTTTTAGTACAATTTAATCCACAAAAGTACAATGGTACGATGACACATTTTGTACAATATTAAATTTATTTCCTTATTGAAATGATAATCTAAAATTGTACTTCTAACACAAAGTCCAAAGGACTGCCGATTTTGATAAAATTTGTACTAAACTTCAGAAGAGAAACAAGTAATATGTATGTTAATATGTAGTAATATGTACTATGCCAAATCTTGTACATAGATGTACCCACCATTAAAGCATATGTTCTAAGGTGTTTTATGGGGTCTTGCATCAATTATGGACTGACCTATACAGAATTTGAAATAGTGAATAATATTTTCTAAAAATAAACTTTTGCCAAATTTTTCTTCACATCACAGCCTTTAATGAACATGAACCGTGGTCTGCATGTTGAGCTGCATTAAAATCATCTTCTGAAGGTGATCTTGCGTGATCCCAAGACCCCACTTATGGGTGGTAGGGACAATGTCCGCCAAAACTAACATGGACAAAATTTCAGCACATTTAGTTCCTACTTAACATTTTTTGTTGGTGTTATTCTGCAAGAATCGTTATATGCGGACTTGTGTAAGAGATAGGGCCAATTGTGGTTCAAACTATTTTTCGTGAGAAGGGTATACATACATAAGTTTGTCATTCTGTTTATAATTTCTATAATATAATTTTTCCGACCCTATAAAGTATATGTCAAGTGACCCGGCAGTTCTTGACCGATAGAGCTGAAAATTTGTGTCTGGCCTACTATCCCAAAGTACTAACCTTGGTGCAAATTTCATCCAAATCGGAAGACATCTTTTTTTTAAAGTTGGATCACTTGACACGAAATTCCCCATATGTATATTCTGAGTTCTTATAAATAGCAGAGTCGGTCTGTTGTTGTAATAAATTTTCTTAAAACCCTTGATATCTTTGGGGACCAAATCAAACATGCTTTCGAGAAGTTTTCTATTTAAAATCAGCAAAATCAGTCCATAAATAACGGATATATGAGGAAAATGCGAGTTAACATCTGAAAATTTAATAAAAATTTAGATTTTTTGTGAATAAGAACTTATAAAAGAGGACTTTTTTAGTACATTTTCGTTCTTTAAAATTTACTTTTTTAATTTACCTAAAAACATCATATCCCGGAGTAAATGATAAACATAAAAACATTCAGAGTCCTGAGTGAATGAAAATTGTAGGAAAGTAATTTTGGTACTTTTTTGTTCTGCAACTGGTACATACATACATATATCCTGATGAAATGAAAATCTATAAGAGTTAATTTTTTGGTACTATTTGTTCCTTAATTGGTACTTTTAGAATCTTTACATAATATTGAGCCTATAAAAATAAAAAAAATTAAGAATCTTTTATAATATTTGACCGAGAAACATAGAATTCAACACGCAGCATACTGATCTATAAAAGGTAATTTTTCGTTTTCCGTTTAATATTTTTTCTTATTTTTTGTAATAAAAGACGTACTGAATCTATAGATTAGAGTCTAGACTAAAATATAGACTAGACTATAGACTAGAATATAGACTAGACTATAGACTAGACTAGACTAGACTATAGACTAGACTATAGACTAGGACTATAGACTAGACTATAGACTAGACTATAGACTAGACTATAGACTAGACTATAGACTAGACTATAGACTAGACTATAGACTAGACTATAGACTAGACTATAGACTAGACTATAGACTAGACTATAGACTAGACTATAGACTAGACTATAGACTAGACTATAGACTAGACTATAGACTAGACTATAGACTAGACTATAGACTAGACTATAGACTAGACTATAGACTAGACTATAGACTAGACTATAGACTAGACTATAGACTAGACTATAGACTAGACTATAGACTAGACTATAGACTAGACTATAGACTAGACTATAGACTAGACTATAGACTAGACTATAGACTAGACTATAGACTAGACTATAGACTAGACTATAGACTAGACTATAGACTATATAGACTAGACTATAGACTAGACTATAGACTAGACTATAGACTAGACTATAGACTAGGACTATAGACTAGACTATAGACTAGACTATAGGACTAGACTATAGACTAGACTATAGACTAGACTATAGACTAGACTATAGACTAGACTATAGACTAGGACTATAGACTAGACTATAGACTAGACTATAGACTAGACTATAGACTAGACTATAGGACTAGACTATTAGACTAGACTATAGACTAGACTATAGACTAGACTATAGACTAGACTATAGACTAGACTATAGACTCTAGACTATAGACTAGACTAATATGACTTAGACTATGACTAGACTATAGACTAGACTATAGACTAGACTATAGACTATACTATAGACTAGACTATAGACTAGAACTATAGACTAGACATAGACTAGACTATAGACTAGACTATAGACTAGACTATAGACTAGACTATAGACTAGACTATAGACTAGACTATAGACTAGACTATAGACTAGACTATAGACTAGACTATAGACTAGACTATAGACTAGACTATAGACTAGATATAGCCTAGACTATAGACTAGACTATAGACTAGACTATAGACTAGACTATAGACTAGACTATAGACTAGACTATAGACTAGACTATAGACTAGACTATAGGACTAGACTCTAGACTAGGACTATAGGACTAGACTATAGGACTAGACTATAGACTAGACTATAGACTAGACTATTAGACCTAGACTATAGGACTAGGGACTATAGACTAGACTATCGACTAGACTATAAGACTAGACTACTAGACTAGACTTACAGACTAGACTTATAGACCTAGGACTATAGCCTAGACTATAGACTCGACTATAGACTAGACTATAGACAGACTATAGACTACGACTATAGACTAGACTATTAGGACTAGACTAGTAGACTAGAACTATAGACTATAGACTGTAGACTAGACTATTGACTAGACTATAGAGTAGGACTATAGACTAGAATAGGAACTAACTACTTGCCCATTTCCTCTGAATATTGCGTGAAAAACAATTGCACAAAAAGTACAAAAACATCATAATAAATTATTTTTTAAAACAAGTATTTTATATTCGTATTTTGACAAAATGTTACACATTTTTTCCATATATCATTGCTCAAAATAAAACAAATCATTGTAAAACCCTTTGAAATGTGTTGCCAAAAGTTATTTAAAAGTCATTTAACACGTGTCGAAATAATCACAAGAGTCCTTCAATGCCATTGAATAAATACACGTGGTGTGTAGTTTCACCCCTCAGGATAGAACTTGAACTTTTTGGTAAATAAATATCATAATACTGGTAGTATATACATTAGGGCCATAACTTGTATACATTCTTTTAAAATAAAATTATTAACTCTTATTAACTGGCCAAAAGGCCGTCCTCGAATCGAAATTAAAAAATGGACCCAAAAAAGATCTTGTTAAAATGGTAATGGTTCAAAGCCGCATACTTGATCGAGTAAAATGTATCGATGTTTTGCATTTTGAGATATGGAACAAGAAATATGTATATGGTTATCACGTAGTGACAGTATCTAGTTGTGGTTATACCCCTAATGTAGATGTATAGCTATGGTAGCTATACGATTACACTTGGAATATTTTTCTCGCTATTTTATTATTAGTTTTTGTTTTCGTTGTGAAACTTGACTATTTGTGTCATTTTTTGTGCGAATTAACACATTTTACATTAACAATACTAAACAATAAATAGCGAAAGTAGTAACTAAAACAAAAACAACCCAGCAAAAACATTGAAAAGTAAGGAATAGTAACCCAATAGATAAGTCAATAAAGTAGTCAATGAACTAGTCAATAGATTTGTACATAGACTAGTAAGTGGAATAGTCAATAGACTAGTTTACTGATAATCTCATAGATCTGTTATTAAACTAGTCAGAAGACTATGTAATAAATTAGTTCATAGATTAGTTAACAAAGCCGAAAATAAAATAGATAGATTGATAGATAGATAGATAGATAGATAGATAGATAGATAGATAGATAGATAGATAGATAGATAGATAGATAGATAGATAGATAGATAGATAGATAGATAGATAGATAGATAGATAGATAGATAGATAGATAGATAGATAGATAGATAGATAGATAGATAGATAGATAGATAGATAGATAGATAGATAGATAGATAGATAGATAGATAGATAGATAGATAGATAGATAGATAGATAGATAGATAGATAGAATAGATAGATAGATAGATAGATAGATAGATAGATAGATAGATAGATAGATAGATAGATAGATAGATAGATAGATAGATAGATAGATAGATAGAAGATAGATAGATAGATAGATAGATAGATAGATAGATAGATAGATAGATAGATAGATAGATAGATAGATAGATAGATAGATAGATAGATAGATAGATAGATAGATAGATAGATAGATAGATAGATAGATAGATAGATAGATAGATAGATAGATAGATAGATAGATAGATAGATAGATAGATAGATAGATAGATAGATAGATAGATAGATAGATAGATAGATAGATAGATAGATAGCTAGATAGATAGATAGATAGATAGATAGATAGATAGATAGATAGATAGATAGATAGATAGATAGATAGATAGATAGATAGATAGATAGATTAGATAGATAGATAGATAGATAGATAGATAGATAGATAGATAGATAGATAGATAGATAGATAGATAGATAGATAGATAGATAGATAGATAGATAGATAGATAGATAGATAGATAGATAGATAGATAGATAGATAGATAGATAGATAGATAGATAGATAGATAGATAGATAGATAGATAGATAGATAGATAGATAGATAGATAGATAGATAGATAGATAGATAGATAGATAGATAGATAGATAGATAGATAGATAGATAGATAGATAGATAGATAGATAGATAGATAGATAGATAGATAGATAGATAGATAGATAGATAGATAGATAGATAGATAGATAGATAGATAGATAGATAGATAGATAGATAGATAGATAGATAGATAGATAGATAGATAGATAGATAGATAGATAGATAGATAGATAGATAGATAGATAGATAGATGGATAGATAGATAGATAGATAGATAGATAGATAGATAGATAGATAGATAGATAGATAGATAGATGGATAGATAGATTTTGGGTTTTCACCACATAACTATGTCAAATATACTGCAATCTCACCAAAATTTGGCACAACTAACTTTTATATAAGCATAAATGACCATGTCCATTTTTATAATGATCGTTTGACCGTAGCCTCCATACAAACCCCCCCTTTAAAAAATATCTTAAACGTCCAAAAAACGTATACCCATTTATATGAAATTACATCCCTTTTCCCAATTCTTTTACGATCGGCCCATATTTGACCCTAGCTCCCATATAAAGCCTATTTTAGAAATTTAGTTTTTCATCAATAAATTGCTTAAATACATCGGAATTAAGGTAAAATTCAACAAAATTTATATGAAAAATAAATAATTTTTAAAATATACCCAGGGTAGGGTATGGTATCATATAGTCGGCCATGCCCGACTGTACTTTCCTATTGGTTTTTCACTAAGCAAGACTATACTTAATAATTTTAATTAAATAAAATAGAAAAGTATTTTAGTAAATAAATTGAAAAGTAAGTTTAATTAATAATTTTAATTTCCGGTAAACCGCAGTTAAATTTCCTTTAACTAGTATTTATTATCTAGTTTAAGTACTTTTTAAGTAGAAAATAAGACGATACCTGATAAGGAAAGGAATATTGTTTAAAAGTCTTGAATATATATAAATGGGCACAATAAATAGACTTTACTGCCAAGTGCAGTAATACATATAAGATGGGAAAATTATTTCATGTATTTGTCATAATAACTATAATTAATTTAAAAATTCAAGCAATATATTCCGCCAACAATTTATATACATCCGACCAGAAAAAGATCTACTATATTGAAAATGAATATAAGTTTTTTTTTTCAAACATAAAGATTATAAATTACAATTAAAATAATATAACAATTTATAGTTTACCTGGTTTGATGCTTTAACGAAATGCGCCAGCATGAACATGAGTTTGGTTACAATTGATGCCAAGGAAAAATCTGACGATATAACTAATTTATTGAGCAAAACATTTGGAGCTGTTAATGGCATGTGGATTGGTGCCATAGCCAATGGTAAAGATCATCATTATATTTGGATTTCAACTGGTAATGAAATGATTTTCTCAAATTGGTCACCTGGTGAACCCAATTTTGAAAATAGTCAGGAATATTGTGTTCTAACTGGATGGACGGATAAAATTAAATGGAATGATGGCGGTTGTTATAGTTTACAAGGAGTTATCTGTGAATATAATGACAATAGTAGTCATAATCAAAATGAATTAAAAGATTTTTATGAGGCAAAACTAAAAGAGGAATTGGCAAAGAAACAAGAACTTAAAACTCAATTACAAGAAGAATTGGCAAAGGAACAAGAACTTAAAAGTCAATTACAAAAGGAATTAGAAAATGAAAAACAAATTCAAAGTCAATTAGCAAATGAAAAAGAACTTCAAAATCAATTACAGGAGGAATTAGAAAAGGAACAAGAACTTCATAATCAATTGGATAAGGAATTAGAAAAGGAACAACAACTTCAAAGTCAAATGGATAAGAACCAACTTCTGCTGCAGATGTTACTGGATTATAGAATTAATACTGATGGAAGAAATAAGTTGATACATGATGTAGTTGTAAATATTAATTGAGGAATTTAAATGAGTTAAAAAAAATTATGTGAGAATTCTTATTGTTGTCTTCAGTAATGGAAATACATTTTAAGTTATGAATTTGATTACGAGGAAGGGTATTTTTTATGTTCTTTTATATTTTTTATAACATACAAACATCAGACAAATACTAGGATCCCAATTAAATGATAGTTTATAATAGTGGACATTTTGGTATTATATCGTTACAACTTGTATTCTTAAAGTCTGTATAATATGGAATATACTTACAAACAGAACATTAATTAAATGTGCTGCGTCTTGATTGAAGGAAAATCTTCAATATGGTATTTGTGTATATATATTCAACTATGATGAGGGTAGCGATGCACACTGGGTAATGTTAGTATTAATATAAATTTATATTTACATATATAAAGTACCATTTTTTTTATATTACAAATTCATTGTTAGAAATGTTACTTAATCAACAAAATTTATTATAATACTTGTAAATAAGAGTAATTTCCTGTCACTCGTAGTTCATAAGTAATCAAGCGATCAAGATGTTAACTTCTTCGACAGTTGTCCAAATATCACGGTGTGATAGTGATAGAAAAAACAATCTTTAGATCTTGATGGCTTGATGGATAGCCTTTACTATAGATTAGACTATAGACTAGACTATAGACTAGACTATAGACTAGACTATAGATTAGACTATAGACTAGTCTATAGACTAAACTATAGACTAGACTATAGACTAGACTATAGACTAGACTATAGACTAGACTATAGACTAGACTATAGACTAGACTATAGACTAGACTATAGACTAGACTATAGACTAGACTATAGACTAGACTATAGGCTAGACTATAGACTAGACTATAGACTAGACTATAGACTAGACTATAGACTAGACTAGACTATAGACTAGACTATAGACTAGACTATAGACTAGACTATAGACTAGACTATAGACTAGACTATAGACTAGACTATAGACTAGACTATAGACTAGACTAGACTATAGACTAGACTATAGACTAGAATACAGACTAGACTATAGACTAGACTATAGACTAGACTACAGACTAGACTATAGACTAGAATACAGACTAGACTATAGACTAGACTATAGACTAGAATACAGACTAGACTATAGACTAGACAATAGACTAGACTATAGACTAGACTATAGACTAGACTATAGACTAGACTATAGACTAGACTATAGACTAAACTATAGACTAGACAATAGACTAGACAATAGACTAGACAATAGACTAGACAATAGACTAGACAATAGACTAGACAATAGACTAGACAATAGACTAGACAATAGACTAGACTATAGACTAGACTATAGACTAGACTATAGACTAGACAATAGACTAGACTATAGACTAGACTATAGACTAGACTATAGACTAGACTATAGACTAGACTATAGGCTAGACTAATAGACTAGACTATAGACTAGACTATAGACTAGACTATAGACTAGACTATAGACTAGACTATAGACTAGACTATAGACTAGACTATAGACTAGACTATAGACTAGACTATAGACTAGACTATAGACTAGACTATAGACTAGACTATAGACTAGACCATAGACTAGACTATAGACTAGACTATAGACTAGACTATAGACTAGACTATAGACTAGACTATAGACTAGACTATAGACTAGACTATAGACTAGACTATAGACTAGACTATAGACTAGACTATAGACTAGACTATAGACTAGACTATAGACTAGACTATAGACTAGACTATAGACTAGACTATAGACTAGACTATAGACTAGACTATAGACTAGACTATAGACTAGACTATAGACTAGACTATAGACTAGACTATAGACTAGACTATAGACTAGACTATAGACTAGACTATAGACTAGACTATAGACTAGACTATAGACTAGACTATAGACTAGACTATAGACTAGACTATAGACTAGACTATAGACTGACTATAGACTGACTATAGACTAGACTATAGACTAGACTATAGACTAGACTATAGACTAGACTATAGACTAGACTATAGACTAGACTATAGACTAGACTATAGACTAGACTATAGACTAGACTATAGACTAGACTATAGACTAGACTATAGACTAGACTATAGACTAGACTATAGACGCTGGTTTAAAAATATCCAAATTTCCCACTAACCGCTAAAACGTATTTATTACCCCAATTGCCATTTCAAAATAGTCAGATTTGATGGGAAAATTGCCAAATTTTCAATACTGACTTTAACTTTTCCATGTTAAAATACAATGAAAAAGTAGTTCTTTTTTTAATCTAAACTGTTCAAAAAATCCTTCCATAGATGTATTATTTAGCAAATTTAAATCTACATCATATCTCATAATACATTTCATAAAAGACATGGATGAATCAGCTCCTTTGTGACGTAATTTTATACATACATATATGTGTGTGTTTAAACAAATGGAAGCTATGTTTTGATATAAATTTATTTAAAGAATACTAAATATGTATCTACTAAATACAAAATCAGTAACAGTTTCTATAAATATTACTTCTTCTATAAATACAAATTTAATGTAAAACTCGTTATTTATAATCATTAACACGTGTCTGTTGTTATTTTTCTACATTAAATGCTTTATTAAAAAATTAATAATTAATGCCAAGCACAAATCTACAATAAAGTGCGTATGATTAATATTAATTAACATGAAATTAAATAAATACAATACGACGCTCATACGTCATGTGGCACGTTTTTATAATAAAAAAACTAAAGTATTTCAAGTTTTTCAGTATTCATTAATAAACAAACAAAGTACATATTGTGTTGAAAAATAATAATCATAGTAATTTAATATTGATTCTTAATATTTTGCTGTTTTATTATGAAAAGTTTATGATTAAAAAAAAACTATAATAAACTAGGGTAAAAAATTCTTAACAAATATTAGGATTTTTCGATTAGTTTTATATCGCTATGTTTGTTTCATTTCTCTATTTCTCTTTTAGCATTTAATTTTTCTTTTACTATTGTTATTTTTTTTCTTTTGCTCACCAAGGTCGTTTGTAGAACGTGTATATATATATCATACCAAACATTCCGGTTCTTTTACTCAGACTTTGTGACTGTCAGTTAGTTAGAGAGGAGTAGTTGAGCAGGGATACAAACAAATAAAATATACGGTAAATTGAAAAAAGGAGGAAACAAACAAAATACAAAAATATTTTTGTTATTTATTCCACATAGCGTGACAATCATTATTGTACTTTTCACCACTTAATACACATATTTACTCTTTGAAAAAAATTATAAAAATACGTCTAAAAATGGAAAAATATTCTAATATTCTTTAGACATACGGAAAATATGCTTCTAGTAAATATGGCTCAGAATCTGAGGCTCTATTAAAATGTCCTTTTTATACCCTTCAACTTAAAAAACATTAATTATTTTTTTTCGCGATAAGCTCAAAAGTACGGAAATTTTGAGACTCATTTCGAAAAAATTGCAGACAATTTTTTTAATATATTGTACTGTGAACAGGATTTACCATCGCTGGTAGGCAGACAGACGCCCTTTGGAAGAAGAAATATTACTAATACGCAACCAAACTTTTCCCTACAGTTAATATATTTCTCATATATCATAAATACACAGATACATCCACATAACTTATAATTAGAATTTCTAATTTAATTTCTATCGATTTTATATCACAAACAATTAATCCAACCAACTACTAACTCTATTACTTGAACTCATTATTAATTTAAACATTTTGCAACATTCTCTTGACAATTCAACTCTGTGTGCTACAAATGAAAGATAATTATCGATGTCAAAGATATCAAATTAACTAACTAACTAACTAACCTCTAATTAACACAAGGCATTATTGTTGGACTATCTTTAAAGCACTTGTCTTCTGTCTTATCACACTTTTCTCCCTTTCCCTTTCGCCTTTTGTTTACTAGCGTTTAAGTGGATAAAATGAAAAACCAAAAAGTACAAAAAAATGCTGACAAACAATGCAATTAAATTAAGGGAACACACACTTACACAGATTACAAAATCAAGTGAAATTCATTGGAAAATAAATTAAAAAAAACATTTTGAAAAAGAGAATAAATAGACAATAAAGAATCTAAAGAGCGGAGCATGAAAACCTTTTAAAGTAATTAACAGGTTTGAAGGTAATTTAAATAGAACTTTAAAAGCCTTTTTTTATAATTTAATTTCTTTTATAAAATCCAAATTTTTTGATAAATTGTTTCCATCCCTGATTTCAACCATGATAAATCTCTTGTATAATATCTCTGTTATTTATGGTTTGATTTTGCCGATTTTAAATAGAAAACTCCCCAAAAGCATGTGTGAAAGAATTATTGAAGATTTGGATGCAAAATTTTAAGAATCTAGTTTTATTAGTTTTCAAGATAAACTAATTTTTGAATTTTATTCATATGGGAGGTGCCACGCCCGCTGTTGCTAGTCCGTCCACTTTTTGTCTTAAATATTCATATTGATACTAAATTGGCTCCGACAAAATTTGAGCAATCTAACTACTATATTTTCCCAGATATAATGATTTAATATTTTCTTAATGTGGAAGGTGCCACGCCCACGCCCACTTGTCCAAAAATATTCTTATGGATGTCAAAGTTGTCAGTAAAAATTTTAGGAATCTAGCAGTTGCAGTTTCTAAGATATGCGACTTTTAATACTTATTTTGTATGTGGGCGTGGCTCCTCGCCCACTTGAAATTTTAAAGTAAAAGTAGCTTATAGTTCCTTCCAGACATACAGGAAAACACTGCGAAAATTACACAAAAATCGGTTCAGCCGTTTAGCTGTTTATAAAGTCTAAACAAACAAACATACAAACACATTCATTTATATATATATGTATAGATAAGTATGTATATTTGAAGTCCGTAGACGGCTAAACTGATAAAGCGATTTTCTTAAAACTTTCACACTGGCTTCCTGTATGTCTGAAAATAACTATAGATAATTCTTGAATTTCAAATATCAAAAAGGGCCAGGTGCCACGCCCTCATACAAAATAAGTATTAAAATTTGCATATCGACAGCAACAGCAAGATCTCTCAAATTTTGTACGGACAACTTTAACATGCATATGAACATTTGGTAACAAAATGGGCGGACTTGCTATAGTGGGTGTTGCAACTCCTATATAAAGAAAATTGCTGGACTAGAAATATGGGGCGTGGTAACTCCCATATCAATTTAAAAAAAACCATATATCTGAGAAACTATTAGATGTAGAATCCTCCAATTATGCACAAACAATTTCGAAA